TTCTCGGAATACGGCGTACTGAGCTTTTTCCGTTTGAATAGATGTAAAAAAATCGATATTTATCGAAGCAGGTTGCCTCACCTGGTAATGATTATTTATGATGGATACGGAATAAAAACAGCGTTGCCAACTTAAGCGACTCCAAATTGCGTTACGATATGCAGACCTAGAATGAGCTGGTCCGTGATTCATCTAGTTCTCATTGATGGGAAAAATTTCTTCAAGATATCCATTTTGAATAATTGAACTAGAGTGTTGTTAACACTTACATCGAATGAACTCGTTTGGACGATGAGAAAACGGTGGAGTAAAGGCATTATGTAGTCAAACTTTAGTGAAAAAGTTCCCAGATGAGGTCATTTTCCCCGATGTTCTGGACTCCAAGGCGGAAATTTAACTTAAATCAAACTGTTGGACTGTAGATGGGCCTAAGCACTAAAAATCCATTATTTCTAGAGGTCATGACGAATAAAACAAATGGTGCTCAAAAGTATTTGTCACTGGGGCCCTTCAAAAAATAAGTTATGAACTTTGGAATTTTAAATATACAATGAGAAAAAAGACCCCTCACTTCAGATTACACGTCAAGTTAAGAAAATTTGTAGGCACTTTCAAAGATTTAGACATATCATAATACTGATTATAATTTGCGTCAGTATGGTGACGAAAAATTACTGGACTCGATTCCAGTTATTAACGCTGGATGCTGCCTACGAGCTGCGGGTCGATATCCTGGATATTTTCATTTTATTTGTGCTTTTATCAGGGATATTTAACGCGCCAACCCGGAATTAGAAAAAAGGGGAATAAAACGGATAAGATAAGAAACAAGGCGGGCAGGAGGGCGATGTTAAAAACACACACGGTGGTGTGACGGGTCATAAACGCCCGGCCTGGGAATTAAACCTCACACCGGCTCAAAAAATGGAGCGTAATGTATGCTCACGTAAAAATGCCGGAGTGTGAGTGAGATGTTACGTGAGTGTGCGAGAGCTCATATCATATCTATATTTCCGAGCATCCTCCCTGGATTAGTTTTTACGACAAGGGTGAAAACGTAAGGAGGGGCCGGAGAAAAACGGGGGAAAAATAGTTACATTTCCATAAATAAGCAATTTCCTTTAGCTTGTTATTTTATTGGATTTTGAAACCTCCCGCGGAGGCGAGGCAAGAACAAAGGAATTTATATTATCGAGGGAGGAGGAAAACTCAAAACTAAGAAAATAAGCCGAAAAAAACTGGCCTTCATTTTTACTTTTATTGTTATCGTTTTGCGCCGTAAGTTTTAATGCCGGCGGAATGAGAAAAAGGGTGCTATTTCTTTAAGCTGGTTAGCGTTAGATAGGGCGGCTCCGATTTCCTCCTATGAGCATTCGGCTTCGATCTGGTTTTACATTTCTACCAATCAGATTAGCCCGACAATTAAATGCACTCTCGGCCTGTGTGATATTGTCACGCGTGCGCGTAACGAACACACGCTCCAGTATGTCCGTTGAGGTCACGCCTAATTTTTTTAATGAAGTTCATGAAGAATTGATTATAATAATAATAAATAACGCCAGCGGAAACCATTATATCTCTTGAATTTATTACTCGTTTGACATTGTATTTCAGTTAGGTGCGGTTATTATTGGCCTATTGAATTGTAGGCGGCCATTTTGAATTAAAAATACATTCATGTACGATTTTCCTTTCTACTCGGGACAGAGTGGTTTGGTTCGAGTGACAACTTACATTTTCATTCAATGCCGCCCTCTCTTAAACAATTTTATACTCGTAGTTATTTTATCCTTGGACTGACACAACAGAAACATTGCGAGAGAAATGAATAAATATGATTGTAGTCTTGGTCTTAGCACTGCTGAGGGAGGAATAATTTTCACAGACCGTTCGGGTATATTTTTTGAACAGCCTTTGATACCTTCTCTAATGCAATAGCAACGCGTGCGCGGATGACGAGAACACGCAATAAACAGAATCAGGGACTTAATGAAACGCCTATGCAAATAGTCAAATGGCAACGGAGAACAAAAAATGTATGCTAACTTGCGATCAACACCGAAGCATTTTTTCAAAGGTTAATCGAATAATATAATTTGAGTGATAGGTATAATCTTCAAAATTTTTCAAAGGTTTCAGTATTTCGGAATATTTATTTTTTGGAGTTATTATTTCTAAATTTCCTATGGATAGTGTTTAAAATATTGAAGAGAAGTTCAGTTCAATATCAAAATAAAAATTTTGAAAATTCCTATAATGATCTTCGATTTTTCAGAGGTGCGTTGTTACATTTAGAAAAATCTATTCCAAGCAGAAGAAGACAAGCTACCCTATTCAAAATTATTGTTGAAAAATGAATTTATTTCCTGAAATTCTATCAAAATCATGATTTCCATCGTGTTTTTGCGCATTTTTAATCGGTTGACTAAAAAAGTTTGAAATTTTTAAAATAGAGACTTGAATTTTTCACAAACCTCAATAACAACTTAGGCTAGCACTTATCAAGGAAATTAACCGTGCTCTAACTCAATCTGCAGGGACGTAACTGACTCTGCTGCACTCAAACTTGCATACGTGTGGGTCCAAACTTGGAAATAGGAGAGAGGCGTGTATTGTTACCTGCGCCAACAGGATCAGCAGTGTAGCAAAGGTACTTTGTATCTTCGGAAATGTTGTGAAATTGTAAAGATCAGACTCACTCAAGCGTGAAAAAGGGATCCCCTTGTGCTCTACATATTATGCACACCAGTTTGTGTCCCATCCTGCACTTTATCCCTAGCTTCGGGCGCGTGTTGCTGTGAGAGCGGTAATGCGGCTGCATAGTTCATCTTTCGAGGGAGCGAGGAAGAATAAGAACAAGAAGAAGAAAAAAATCTACCCTCAGACGCAAACGCAACTGATTGATTTTATCTTATCGAATGTAGGTAGAGGGATGAATCGACTGGTGGAGGAAAAATCTGGGATGTTAAGGCGTTGTTGTCAAACTCGTTTAAAAAATTAAGATCACTCCAATTGAATGGAGGTAAAAAAATTGTGCATTAGCGAACACTTGACAAATGCTCGATTGCATAGAGGTACATTCTAAGCTTTTATTCGGCCAGGGTCTGAATAAGCTGAGCGTTTGAGAAGATAATAACAATTGAGGATTCCTTTTCGGTAACTAAAAATTATGAAGGTAGAATTAAAATCTGAATTCCGTTGACTTATCGAGAGTATTAGAATACGTTTGGGATTAATTAAAATTCATAAAGGGACGGAGAGTCGTTGGCTATTTTATGTTTCGTCCTCGATTTCACACCATCCGTTAATCTAATTAAATGAAAGTTACGTATCAGCCTTACTTTGGACCTTTTTTCCGTGGGGAGAAAGAAAAATAGTTTCATGCTTAAACGCACGATGTGCCATGTTAAAGAATCCTTTCATGACGTCATTTAATAAAAGTCACCTACCTTTGGCAACCGAAACAATAAGATCTCAAAATTTGAGGATTTTCCGAAAATACTATGATAGCGTCTTTATTTTTCAAAATTGGATTTTTCGGCGTTTGAGACAGCATCATTCCAAGATTTTTGATTGAAAAACAGAGATGAAATCAAGTCGTATGTTCAACTTTTAAAGCCGAGAGTACGACTAATACTTGAGGAAAAATCAAGTTATGTAACAGAAATGTTACTTTAATGTACAAAAATCGGCGATAAATTAATTTACAAATTATTCACTGAAGCAACAGACGGAATGACCTTAGATGTCTAACGTACGGAAGATGCGAATTAGCATATTCGAGCCAACTTCCGATTGCCCAAAATTTGGGTGTGCATCTACTTAACATATTAAATATTAATAATATACTTTTACTTTTATTTACTTCACTCGCCCTGCCGTTCGAGTGATATTTTTGCATATTAGTCTTTTTACGGGGCACACGTTTATTTTAAGGTATGTGGGGAGGATGGGGGAATTTATTCAAACACACTTCGAAAGGCTGTTCAAATGTTTGACGTTATTCACGTGCTACACATACGTATAAAATCTTCTCCATTAATGCTAGGCGTAATTTTTCGGCAAGGGGCGCCGAAAATCTCTAATCTCATTCACGAGGGATGCTCATTAGAAACTTCGATGATTCCTAGAAGATATTGACTTACTTAACTACTGAATTATTCAATCCAATTTGTTTTTCTTGGATGTTTTTCACGGAATTAAGAGTTGTACGTGGAATAGAAATTGCACCGAATGGCTAAATGATTATTTTCTTACATGGAACGAAACTCTTTAAAATATTTATTCATTCATTTGTATATTTAAAGACTTAAAAAGGAGACCTAATCGCATTAAAATTAAGCGGACCTGGCATTTAAAGACCTGAAACTTCTTCAAAAAGAAATCAGTATTTTGACCTTGTTTAGAGTCATTTCAAAATACTTTTCGCACGATGCGCAATTAAAATAATTTTATCAAACACGTACGTAACTGTAAAATATTCGGTCCAAAACGCCTCGTGTATAATTTGCACTCGTTCCAAAAGTACTCGCCTTGAAATTGTTGATCACACTTTACACGGAGATCAATTTCATTTTCAAGTCCTAGACTTTCAGCAAAAGCTCCTTAAAACGTACAGACTTATCGCGGGATAGCACCTAGAGACTTTGTCCATATAATGTTATTAGAATTTTTTTTTTCGTTCGTAACAAAAGACTTTCGAAAGGACTTTATATCCAAAGGTGGCTTTTCGAGACCGGTAACCCTGCATTACGAAGAGACCTTGCGGAAACAGACAATGAGCGGGTCGCGACTGCAGACGATCTCTCTTTTTTGAGTGAACACATTTCGGAGAAAAACGAATAAAACAGAACCACATCTAATACAAGACACAGGGACCATGCTACTCAAACTAAGAGGAAAAACAACTCATATCAATTTTGCCAAAAAGGTATTCTACGGAGAGAAATTTGAATAATTAGGGAGAAATTTGAATAATTAGGGAGAAATATTAGACTCACCAGCAGCGGAGATGAGAGCCGGGTGGAGGGGTAGTCCTTGAGGTAGGCCAAGACCGTAAAGTTGGTGCAAAAGCGCGACGTCCTCGGGCGTCAGGGAAGAGGGATCTTTGGCCGCTGCAAGAGCCATTGCTTGTGACATTTGAAGGATCTGCAACTGGGCTAACTGCTGCTGGTTTGGTGACGAGCTGTTGTTGTTGTGATTGACAGCTGAATCAGGCGCCGGAGGGATCGTGAACTCTCCGTCACTTACATGCCCCGAGTTCAACTCCTTTTGCGAAAGTCGAGCCTCCAGGTAGGCTTTCACCATATCGATGTGCTTTTTGGTGAAAATATGGTCTTGGACCGAGTACTTGTGCGAGTATTTGAACTGACAAAATTTGCACTCTTCCGCCGCCTTTTGGCCGTCCTCCTCTTCATTAGTTTTTCCGGTGGCTAGCTTGTATTTCTTCTCCTTGGCTCGAGCGTTCTGGAACCAAACTTGGATAACTCGCTTCGGGAGTCCGATTTCCCTCCCCAACATTTCGCACTCGGACATGGTGGGAGTTTTGTAGTCGGAAAATAAAGACTTCATAACTTTGACCTGAAGACTGGTCATCTGAGTTCGATACCTTTTCGAGTTGTTGACGGTTCCAGATTTGTTCATCTGGTTGCTCTGCGTACTCGACGCTGGGGAAACCGGGTTACTCTCATCGCCGTCCATGAAATCTGTGGTTTCGGACATACTGTCATCGTCACTCATATCATTATCACCGTGCCGCTCGTCGAATGACATTTTCAACGGCCGACTCAAATCAACCGGCTTGCTTAAATCCAAAGGCGTCTCACCAGTCACGGTCGTTTCGCCATCTCCTTTCCTTAAATTTTCTGTGATAGGCCCTCCGTTTTGAAGTTGGTGGGACTGAAGCTCGGAAATGTACCTCTTCACGGACTCTTCGTAATATTTCTTGAAGTTTTCCATGTCGGCTCCGCCCTGGAACATGGGTGGAACCATGTTCTGAGCACCTTCGAATTTGCTGGACAGCTCATTCATTTGGTTGTTTTGGAATGACTGTGCAGAGTCCACGCTCAACTCCTCATCAGGCAATGAGTCGATGTTGATTTCACCCCTTCCGCATTGCTCAGGGTGCTTCGTTGTCAGATGTGACTCCAGAGCAGATTTTACTTTGAAAAGCGCGGGGCAGAATGGACACCTCTTGTTGATCACTTGAGAGTGCGCACGAAATTGGCCTTTGCGCTCTCGGGCCCGTGTGTTCTGGAACCAAACTTGGACCACTCGTTTTTTCAGTCCCACCTCTCTCGCGATATTTTCAAGCATTTTTCTGGACGGGTTCGACTCAACTTGGTACTTCTGGTAAAGGTAGTCTAGTTGCTCAGGAAGAATAGTAGTCCGCAGTCTCTTATCTTTCGGCTGCTCACCATCTCGATCGCACATGAAATCGTATTCCTCGAACTTGCGTTTGCTAGCATTCAACATGGATAAAAAAGGATGTGGTGAAGGAGAGGTCTGATTGACAGACTGATCGAAACCTGGCACCATCATGTTGGAATTTTGCTGAGCAGGTGATGGTGACTGATGCTGTTGCGATTGCTGCTGATTCTGTTGTTGCTGTTGTTGGTGCTGCTGCTGTTGCTGTTGTTGTTGTTGCTGCTGCTGCATCTGAGCATGTTGCTGCAAGATTCCAAAAGGACTGTCCGGAGGGTAGGAGGGAAATAAATTAGGGTTCATAATATGTACAAGTTGATGCTCCCGCCATAATTCAAATCGCGGAAACACTAAATTACAGTTATCACATTGGAAAGAGGTATCTTTGTTTTCAGGAGTTGGAGTGCTAGGTGGAGCTGGTGATGGAGGATACATTGATAATGAGGGCGTAGGAGTGGTCGGTGCGGCTGGAGTTGGTGGATTGCTCGATGTCGCCGTTTCTCTTAATTGCTGTGATTGCTGATTCTGCTCAACTGTACTCGAGTTCGAGTCTTCCGACGACAGCACGGCGGCAATTTGTGCCGCTGCCGCTTGCGCCTGGGCCGACCGTTTTGCATCCTCCTCTTTGAAACAATGCGTCTTCTGATGCCTGATTAGTTCGTAGTACCTTTGGAACACTAATAAACATTTCTTGCACTGGTAGTTTAAACCGGGCGTTCGCTGGAATCGCCCTGCACCTGTTTCGTCCAGACCTGGCGACAACTCTACAGGCGGCTGATTTTCATAAACTTTCCGAGCTTTTTGACGTGCGTTTTGGAACCAGACGACGATGACTCGCGGGCTCAAGGTCAGTAACTTCGAAAGGTACTCTAAATCGTCATCTTTTGGGTATGCATTATTTTCAAAAAATTCTTGTAATACTTTAATTTGGTAGTCTGTAAAACGTGTTCGATTGGCTCGCTTTCCAGTTGATCCACTGGAGGAGTTGCTACCATTGCTGTTACCTCCAACCCCTGAGAGGAGAGATGGATTGAAGCAGTCATTTGAACCCAAAGATCTTGCTGGGCTCAAACTTCGCGCTGCAGGGACCATTGCACCAGGGTTTGGCGACGTTTGCAACTGATTGGGAGATGTGAAATTCGAAGGAGCAATTTTTGGCGGCAACATATTATTAGCTGAGCTGACAGTCATTGTTGTTGAGTTAGCATGAGATGTTGTGATAGCATTCGGACCCAACTGAGAGTTTATAATGGAAGTAAGAGTAAGGTTCTCAGGTGAGGATCTGCCACCCGAGGAGGCCATACTCATGTTCAATCTCTCACTCATGCTTGGCGACAATGGAGGCGAGTCTCTGTGGTGGTCCCTGAAGTTTTGCTGGAAATTCAAGGGAGATTTGGCATCAAACAAGGACTGAGCCTCACTTTGATGCTTTTCTAGAGATTCTAAATTGAGAGGTACCATTTTGCCATGCTGAAAATCCATAGATTTATGGAAATCATCTTCGGGTTCAATTTTAATGTCTGCTGGCTCCTTCTTGATCACTTGTTGCAGAGACTGTGGCAAGAAATTTGAAGAATTTGGCATTTGCTGTGATTGCTGTTGTTTTCTCTTACCTTGCGAAGCGGAGGTAGGCGGGTTAGGAGTGCATGAGCGGGCTGAGGACTGCTCCTTGGGAGCATCAGCGACTTTGTTGACAGGATTTGTTTCCTCGTTCGTAAATTTTTCAGCACTTGGGAGAGGCATGACTTTAGCTTCTCCGGTTTTTTCATACTCTTCCAGGTTTAAAGTCGTGGATGGGGGATTATTGAAATTATAAGGAGAGTCCTTGTTACGCTGTCTTTCTTTGAAAAGAGTGTTTCTGAACCAGTGTTTAATTACTTTAGGAGGCAGACCACTTTGCGCGGCCATTTCATGGATTTGTTCTTCGGACGGAGAGTTATTAATATCAAAATGAGCCCTCAGAATTTTCAGCTGATCATCGGTGATGCGCGTACGAGCCCTCTTTTGCTGTGATGCATTAGCCTGAAAAAAACAAAAGATCGAGAAATATTAGAGACAACTCAAAAGCCATTGAATAAATTATTCATATTTTTGAACTTTCAATTCGTGTAACCGAACGTTTGATTAGTGTAACCGAAATTACGAGGTTAAAAGAACTGATCAAAGAAGTGAGGCTACATGAACCGAACGTTTGGTTACAGGAATAAAAAAGTCGGCCTTACTCTGGAAGGGAAAAGCTCATAGCACTTATTTTCACGAAAACTTATGACTAGGATTTTGATATGTGTTACAATTAGTGCAAACACACTGATATTTACCAAATTACAAGCAAATAAATTCTCGAGAAAATTACTGTGTGCGTGTTTTTTATTTTGAAAAGATTTCAACCCTGCTTCTGTGTTGAATCTTTTAGAAAATACTGTGACCGTGATTTTTTTAGTGAAAATTACTGCTAACGCACATTGACATTGTGCCTCGGCTGAATCCCTAGTTACTCGAAACTGCGTGTTCTGAAAAATCTCCGAACTCCTGTGCAAGAGTCCCATCCTCAAATGCCCATTCAATCAGACTGAATTTATATATTAAATAAACGCTTGACGTTTTTTGAATATTGAATTTTTGTTAATATACAAAACATTGCCTCGAGACTACAAAATAAAGGGTATTTGAACTGAAAAAAAACACAGAAAAGAAAACTCACCGTTGCTTGAGCGGCTTGTTGCTGATGTTGCAGCAGTTGCTGCTGTTGCTTAGCCATGAGGGACGAGGCATCCGTTGCAGGTGAAAATAGAGGATTTTGACCGCCAACCATGGGTTCAAACGGAGGAGGAGGCATCATCATGGGCACCAAGGGTGGTTGCAAGTTCATTGCTGCGAGTGCTGGCATGTTCAGCCCCAGAGGAAGACCCATACCAAGTCCGGCCATGCCCATCATCATTGGGTTAAACTGCTGTAACTGCTGCTGAAGCTGCGATGCGGCCATTGCGTTTAATGCTGCTTGCATTTCGTTCATCTGCTGAGCAATGTTCATCGGCATCGGTCCACCCTGGCTACTTGGAGTGGATGCATTCATGTTAGGAGGTATGGAGTCTGTGCTTGAGGCTGGAGTTGAAGGAGCTGTTGGAGTGCTTGGAGCATTAGGATTCTCCAACTGAGATGTACTGTGCTGCGATTCTTTTGGAGTCAACTTTGCCTGCAGCTCCTCTTTGCTGTCATCGAGGTCTTTTTCAGGGGTGATGTCGGGACTGGAGGTCGTCACTGCACCAGAGGAGATGGTGCTTGGTGTATTCATAACGCTTGAAGTAGTAGTTGTTGAGGGTGGTGTGCTTGTGGTTGGAACGACTTTTTTCTCGTATTCATTTTTAATTTGAAGTGCGTACTTCTCGAGAAAGTCCAGTGGCACTAAATCTTTGTGCACCTCCTCACAATGTGCTTTCAGTACCCAAACGCTAGAAAACTCTTTGTCACAGTGTTGACAAGTTGATTTTGAGACTTCTGGTAAGTTTGTCACGGTTGAGGGGTCGTTTTCTTGTTTTACGTCATCGTCAATTTTTGTCTCTGAGGGCATATCTACTTCTTTGACATCCTCTTCGACTTTGACCTCAGCTTCTTGCTCCGCATTTGCGGCATTTGCAGCATTTAGTTCAGCAAGAAGCTTTTCGTTTTCTTCTTTTTCTTTCTTTTGTCTTCTTTGATGATTTTCATTAAATTGCATTACTAGGTCAAAACCAAAACTTTCCAATAAATGTTTATACATGTGAGAGGATTTTTTGGCCTGGATTATCCTAGTCAGGGGCTCATCACTGAACGGCGTTAAAGGCATCGGAGGTGGAGTTTGTCTCGGTGATTGCAGAGTTGTATTCGCCGAAGAGTGAGGAGGAGTTGGAAGTGGATGGAACATGGACATCGGACTTCCAAACAAGCAGTAAAGCTGTTGGTGAGTGTTCAGTTGATCTTGATTGGCGAACAAAGCACTGCATCGCTGACAGGACAGCATACCGTGTTTGTTAGGCGACGAAGGTATCACAGAAGTTTGATTCGTTGGAGAAGAATTCGTTAAACTAGTAGGAACTGAAGTGGCGGAAGAGGCAGCAGTAGAAGGAACTATGTTTATACCCTGATTGGGCGATGGCACTTGATTAGCCACGCCACTACCTGGCGACGGAGAAGTTTGTTGCTTAGGAGACGATGCAATGGAAAGGATATCCTGCATCAATTTCTTATGCTGGTCTTGAACCTTTTGTGGCTCCGGTTGCTCAATTAGAGGTTTACTTAAATCTATTTGTCCACTTAATGCTAAATCTTGTAATTTTGATGCTCTGGTTTGATGCAAAACTGAGCGCAAATGAATGTCAAGATTGGACCCTTGAGTATATGCAACTTTACAGATGTTGCACTTGAATGGTTTTTTGTCGTCATCCTCAGAGATGAGATTTGCTTTTTGAGCTAAGAGCAAACTTGCTGGCGGTGATACACCCAAGCTTGCTGCGAGAGCCGCAGCTGCAGCGTGTGGTGATATTGCAGCGCTGTTGATGTTATTATTGTTATTGTTATTGTTGTTATTGTTATTATTTTGCTGCTCTTGCATGGCCCTTTTTAATTTATGCAAATGACTGACTGAATTGTAATGAACTAGAAGGATGTTTTTCTGCGTAAATGATTCTTTGCAAACATCACATTTGTACGGTCTGTTGGGATCCAAGTACTTTTCCATGGGGTAACTTAATTTTTCACCTTTACGATGAAGCAAAGTCTTATTATGGCTTGTGAGATAACCTTGTCGAGTGAATGCAACCTTGCACCGATGACACTTATATTTTCGGTTTGGATCGTTGTAAGTATCCTCAGCAATTGCTTGACTATTGAGATAATCTTCTAAAAATTGTTGCTCCTTGTAAATGATAGAATCATCGCTGTTTTCTCCATCGTTACCAGGGCCACCATCTTCTCCTGATTCTTTGCAGGGAGATTCGTCAACCTCCATTTCTTCCTCACCTCTCATCGACTCCTTCTTCAAAAGTTCATTTGTTGAAGGATCAAGCACCTGCCCACTAATGTTGGCTAAAATGAGAGGGTTATTCATCAGACTCTGCTTGTACGCATTCAGTTCATCCTCCGATAATTCTGTGTGTGACGACTCAACATGCTTGTGCAACGCTGAGATTGACCGGAAACTTCTACCGCATAGAACGCACTTGGTCGCATCTCGAATCAGATGATACTGCGAGTGAAGCTGAAGCTTTTCCATAGTTTTGAAAGCTAGACTACACTGATTACATCGATATTTGTACACATGCTTCTCCGATATTGAGACCGTCGATACACTGTTCTGACCGAGACTTCCACTCCTGGACATTGTTGAGTGAATTTCTCGAAAATGCATCTGCAGACTGTTAGCACTAGGAAAATATTGATTGCACCCTTTTTTCCAGCATAAATAGCCGGGCCCTGAAGGAGTTTGCTTGATTTCTAAGTGACCAGATTCATTTTGGTGAGTGTACAGCTCGTCCAAATTACGAAAATTTTTGGAGCAAGTATGGCAACGGTTTTCATCGCTATCACATTGATCCTCTGAGGAAGATAAGTTATGAGATTCATCTCTGTCATCAGGATCACACCTTGAATTTGTTTCGGAATGTTTCTCGAGATCTTTGCTTCCAGACGAAGCCACAGAAGAGGGGCTCAGGTGATGTCCAGGTGGAGTTAACTGTTGTGAGGATGGCCTGGCTGTGGAGTTCAACCAGTGCGATTGATCGACCAACATCAGAAGTCTTTGCAAACCCTCAGAATTAACGCTGTGAATCTGCATGACGTGTTTTTCTAGTTGAACCTTATCTTTAAAACTATCTTGGCACAATGGACAAAGAAAGTCCTTGGATGGAGAATTCGAGCACGAAGATGCTGCTGACTGAGGTCGATCTGATTGATGTTGGGCTAAAACATGAGCTTGCAGACGCATTTCCGAATTTGTTGCATAATTGCAGTACGGGCACGCATGCTCATTTTCTGAGTTGGACCGCTGCTGTTGTTCTTCTTCGTTCGCTTTTTGCTGCATCATTTGGTGTTCTAAAGCAAACTGCATCATTGCTGCTGCGTTGTTCAATTCCTTCAAGTCTAGTTTGTCCTCTCTCTCCCCTCTGCTTCCCACGTCACTTCCTCCATCTTTTTGCTCTGAAAAAAGACAACCAGAAACAATGTTTTAGAAATAAAGCAAAGAGTGGACCAACTGAAAATGAAAGAAAAAATTCGAAATAATTGAGTTAACAAAAAATAAAATAAAATGAAAAACTCCTCTAGAAAAGACTGAAATGAAGTACATATGTTAGTGAAATTTTGAGACTATAGCTCGCTAGCTAATTTAAGAAAATATATAATTGTATAATTATTTTCTTCAACGAAAAACCATGAAAAATCATTGAATAAAATGTATAAAAAGAAAAATTTAATTGTTATACGGTCGTCAGGAAAAAAGGAGTGACTTTAAATGTAGAGATAATCAGTAAATGTGGCCAGATGTAAAAAGAAAAAAATAAGTATTTTTTTCTGAAATAACACATACTAAGAACAAACCAACAAAAATAAAAAAGCAGATTAAAAAAAATGGATGAAAAATCAGTAGCGAATAGCTTTAAAAGTAGTCGCAAAGTTCCCTGACAGTTTCCGCAATTTGGAGACTCTGTATGCAGACTGTTTTTATTTCTGTTGACTAATCTCCTCTTGGAGAAATAAAGCAGAGGTATTAAGATTGTTCTACCTCACTGATTAGCGATTTAAATGGATAAAATGAAATATAATAAAATAAGATGGAAGCAAAAAAAAATAAAAAATAATAAGCTAATGTTAGTTAACAAAAAAAAAGAAGCAAAAAATATGATTAGCTTTCTCATGTTACGCATCTCGAAGCTCCATTACGATAAGCAAAAAAGCGAATGTTTTGCAATTTTGTAAAACCAACAATACCTTGTTCGAAATCTGAGTCAGTTGTTGGTTGATTTAGAACTTGGAAGACTTCGCTAATATCTGCATGCATTTCTTTTCCCTCACTCCGTCTCTGAAGCTGATGAAGCTGCTCCATCTGCAGATGTTTCATAGAGCGGGCGTGTTGAAGAAGAGGTAACCTAGCTCTTGAAGAAAATCCGCATAAGTTACACCGATATACGTTGCCGTCACTTTCACGGATATGTCTGAACAGTAAACTGCTAACTTCGTGCCTTTGACCGGCGGAATGAAGCTGTAATTTATGTGCACTGTTTGTGTAATAATCACAGGCATGACACCGTACTTGAACTCCTCCGGGAGACGACAAGTACTTCAGTTTCCATTCGTTTCTTGGACCCCCTTCTTTCACATGGTTCACATGTTGCAATCTCTGCAAATGCTTGTCCGTCTTACAATGGAGCTGGAAGTTTGCTTTCAAATTCGTCTTGTAAGTGCAGAGTTTACAGACGTAATGCCCAGCAACAACTGCGAGTATTTCTTGCTCTCGAATTTTCGTACGATCAGCAGCTAAATGGTGAGTGAGCGCCTCTAAGGAATCCGTTGAAAAATTATTGCACACACAACAATGGAACAAATGATCCGGGTTCGGGTCCGCAGGTTCAGGAGGAGGCTCCATTGTTTCAGGGTTCAAACCCATATCCATATGAGGCGCTAACTCAGGAGGCAGATGAGGTGGCAACTGTCCACCGGTCATCATCTGGATCAGTAAGGCCTGGTTGTATGCCATATCAGCCATTGCTGCTTCAGCATGAGGTGGTTTGTCACCGCCAGGAATGGCTAAGCCGGGATGGAAATGTAGCAAAGACTCAAAGCCGAGCTGCTGTTGATGGTGTGATTGTTGGATTGCACTGAGTGTTTGCATATGTTTTACATTTTGTTGCAAGACCATCATGTTGTGGGTGTGCTTTTCACTGGTCATGTGGATCCTCAGATTCCGGGCGACGTTTGTTTCGTAATTACAAACATCACACCTGAAAGTCGGTTTTGGCTTTTGACTTTGCTGACTACTGATCGGAGAGTGGCCTGGATGGTGAGCGCCGCCAGAAACTGGACTCGCTGCTGTAGGTTTGTGCTGCGAGGGTGGTGGTGTTTGCTGAAGCCGTTCCGAATTACCACCACCTCCGTTCTGAAGCTCTTGCATGTTGTTCAAATGCTTATCAGATTGCATATGAATACTCAAGTTGCCTTTCGTTGTCGTCGAATAATTGCACACTTCACACCTGTACGGTTTGTAACCGCAGGTGTAGGTTTCTCCTCGGGCTAACCTTGGATGCGGCTGTCCGGCTATACAATAGATACAGGATGTTTCAGTCTCAGGGTGTTTTTCTTTCATATGGATTTCTAGAGTTTCTTGATATTTGTAATGCCAATTACACTTGGGGCATTTGAGAGTTTTACACGAATTACGAGAGTGCATTCCGGCCAGGGGGCCGCCGACTCCGCCGAGCCGGGAGGAACTTAGGATGAGCTCACATTTAGCGCACTCGACGCCACTGGGTCTGCCACCCATATGGTCCGGACACACGCCTATTGTTGTGCCGGTGAGGAAATTCGGGGGTGGCTGGGGATAGGGCACTGCAGACGAAAGTAATGGACTAAGAGTTGTACCCGGTGAAGGACTTGCGCCCGGCGAGCTGCTTCCCCTGCCACCGGCATTTCCGGTCTGTGCGGCAGACGCCGAAATTGGACTCTTCCGCGTTAAGTCCATCACGCAATTGAGTCCGCTAGATTCTCTACCGCTCAGACTACTAACACTTGTAATGATATTGTTCCTATTACTACTTGAACTACTGCTACTTGAAATATTATCTTTAATCATATTAACACAACTACCGTTTTGAGGTAGGGAGACTAACGTCTCAGGAACATTATGAGTATGGACAGGTTTTGGCGATGAATCACGTTGATGCACCACTAAACTTTCCGCGCACACTTTTTCATCATCAAACTCCGAGGAACCGTCCACCGCGCTCGGCACCGGGTCTTTAGGAACATTTTGAGATTCTGCTTCACTGTAACCAGGAGAAGATGACCTACGTAATAGCTGGCTCGATTTCCCATCCGTCGTAGTCGTTGACGTCGAAGTCGAAGTCGCCGTTCCTATGACGGGTGACAAAGGTTCCAGAAATGAGACTAGAGGTTCTTTTTCTTTTCCTACACACTGAATGATGGCCGACGCATTCTTGTGACCGAGAATATCCTTCTCGTCATCCCTCAGCACAACGTTATGGTCGCCCATAGCGTGGGCTACGAAAGACTTGGCGTACCCAAAAGACAGCTTACAAATAAAACACATTAGAATAGGTTTAACAGGAACAGAAGAACAGTCGTTCTGCTTCTTTTCTTCGAGCTTCTCGTTGCAATCGCCGCCCCGGTTGTCTCGAACTGTGTACACCCGATAACTGTGCATTATCGGCGCTTCAGGAACTATCTTTTTGTCGTGCACTAGCTTGTTCGCATAGCCTCCGTAGAGTGCCGTGTACAGAGCTGGATTCCTAGACACATAGAACGCATTGGCTATCTGCGGCAAAGCTTGCACCTGAGAGAGATTTACACCGGGTCCGTCGACGATGCAACCGTCCCCGATGATCTGGGGTAGCTCGGCGTCATCTTCACTGAGTTCGCTGTCCTCGATGATGTAGGCTGAACCGTCCGGGTTGTAGACTATCTTGCCGTCAAATTTCTCAACGTCGCTGGTGCCCCACGAATCGTCGGCGAAGGACTCCTTCGTCGGACACTTACGGGAGGCAAACGAGGCCTTGTCCTTCTCGTCGTCCGTCGAGGTGGCGTCGTCGTAGGCACCGCGTTGAATCATGGTGGCCGTCGCCGTCACCGCCGTCGAGCTGTCTTCTATGCTAGTATCAGTTTTTTGGTCATCAAGGAACTTACTACCGGACGGTGGTGAAGAGACTCTTCGTTCTTCCTCTTCTCTTCCAGCGATGAGGCCAGCCGGGGGCGAGGCCGTCGTTTCGTCTTCAGGACTCATGATCCCTTCTCCCCCCTCGCGTTTCTTCCGTCTCTTGCTGGACGGCGGGCTGTCTACTGACGTCGCGACGCCGCTGCTGGGAGAGGGCATTGCTGCGCAACGTCAACCATCACACGCTGACATGGTGGGCGACCACACCGATCTGCAACATAAGAAAAGAAAACAGCCCGTAAGTCACCAGTATCACTCAATTGTGAGAGGAGCAACATTTTTTCTGAAAATTTTCATTCCTTAAAGCAAAATAATTTGACAATTTTATACTTGTGCAGGGTGAAATTAATCGAACCGAGAGAAAAATTACCCCAAAATAGCAGAAAGAACCGGTGCATATAACAATGGAACTCGCAGTGCATCACTTTGAAACGTTAATTTCGCGCACAAAGAATGTACTTTGAAAAAGAAGGAAAAAAGTTCATTTCATTTTCCAATAATTTTTCAAATTTTTGATGATGGCTACATTTGCTTAAACTCTATGAGCGCCATGTTTTGGAAAAAATAATATTTTTTTTTGACTGGATTTGAGTTCAGTTCGTAGGGTCTGTACTTAATTGCATTCCGCAACGAATGTAAGTGTAACATTAAAGTACCTGTACTTGGTATACTGCGTAGGCAACACTGGCACAGAGGTGAAATTGTTAAAAGCCAAAAATTTTTTCGTGAGTTGAGAGAAAAAGCGGAGTAGGCACATGTCGATTAAAACACAAGCAGGCTGTAATTCTTCGTTGCACATTCGCGAGTGAATCGATTAGAACTGACCATTTCACAATAGTAAAATAGCCACATTGTAATTTTAAGTTCTTTTCGTTCAGTTCATTTCGTTATCGGAAGAAATTTAACCGGGACAATGAGGCACATGGGGGTTGACCTAATACGTGGTGCGAGGAACAAAGTCTGTGGATTTAGTAATGCTTAATCGCTAAACAAACAAAATTATTCATATAACACTATCATAATTGAGAGGTTTTTAATAATTCGAAAGTCATCACGTCAGCGTATCTCTAGATCCCAGTTGCTTATTTGTTCATTTGATATTCAATTTTCACACGGATAGCTTCGGCACTATTTACTTGGTGTTTTTACCTATTGATATGGGCCCCGGCTCCGAGCGATAAATGCGTAGAATTCAAAACCGGAAAGTCAAATATTCATAATAAATCCTTAATCATCTTCAGAAGTCAATGACTTATTGAATACACGCTTGCGATCATTTTAACGCGATGAAATAAGGCTTATGACATTCATACATCAGTTGCGTATTTAATTTCTGAAGAAATCAATCCTCACCTCGTAAACACATTTAAGTGGTAATTTTGTCCAATTATTTTCGTTGGGTTCAAAAATAAGAAAAAGAGACACAAAGTTTCTACCTAATGCCTTTGCTAAAAAAAAATAGATAAATAAAAAAAAATACCTTAACTTTTTAAATAAACAGGCTGAAATATACTGACGTCAGACTGCAAGTAAATTGTAGTACATCTGTAGTAATCGGATGAAATCGTTGAGTACTAGAAAAATTGGTCCGTAAATTTATCTTAATCGGATGAAATAAGAGTTCATTACAGAAAAAACGGAAACAGAAAAAACTGTTCATTTATAGAATCACCTTATATCCACAGGAAATTCATTGGGTGATTTGTCCAGAGGAGGACTGCCAAAAATCGGTCGTTTTAAGTGTAATTCCATTACATTTTTCTAAATTTCGATAATATTCCTCATTGACAAGTTTATTACTATTATTTTTTTCTATTTCCAAAGGCAGAAAAAAGGATATTTCGGTTACACGTGTGTAATTAGACCTCCGGGAGTTGGATCGGTAAACCAATCGGAGAGAACCCTCGACCGAAAATTCGAAGATGACGAATAGGTGGAATAGCATATAAACCAAGACTCACGTAATAAATTAAACGGAGCGGCGCGACGGGCTGTGGAAAAATAAAAAAAATTAGAGGATGAGCTCGGAGGGTAACACAATTAGGATTTAATGGAGCTCCGCAGGCCGCGTGGAGCGAGAGCGGCGACGAAAAAATCGGAGGATAAATCCTCCGATCGTAATAGCAAGGTTAGTGAATAACAATAGCCGAGTTGATTCGGAGACATACAATGCGTCCTTTGCCGCCAATGAACTTGGTCCGCTCGTCCGATGAATAGCCAATCAGACGGATCCGAAGAATAAGAAGAGGTGCGGGCCCGCGCCCGCGCTACGTCACCGCGGCCGCCTCACCGCGAGGGAAATCCACGTCGCTCCGTGGAAAATTCACGGGGGGAAACTCACCCGCGGCAACGATGCGAGGAGCCCGCCAACCGCGACAGCAGCGCTCCTCGTGGCTAATTACACGTGAGGTTAAATCCTGTAGATCCTGTTTCTTGATCGAGCTGATTCCTATCGTTGAACATTGCGCTTGTACAAATCAAATGGACTACGTTCTGCAATTTGGAACTATAAATTCTGGCTCGTCTGAAAAAAACAATAATGTGCAGAGGGAAAGTAATGGCACATACGTTGTTTTCAAACCGGGCTAGCATTAGTAGTTCAAAATTGCAAAGTGCAGTCCAAATATGCCTGGATTAAACGAATGGCAAAAAAAAAAAGATCGAGGACGAGATCTCAGAATAGGAAATCCCATTGATCGGGCTGTAAAGGGTTTAGCGGGTCCTTTCGCTGGTCTACGAAAAGTGAGAGGTTTTAATTTAATTTTTTTTTTTAGTATGTAAGAGCCCGGTTTTAAACATTGAGTGCGATTTACGATGCATATATTGATGGTAGAAGAAGATTAATTCACAGGCACCTAAATGGCGATTTTTCAAATTTCTACGACTTTTGTCTTTTTTTGCGATGACGCAAAGGCATCATTCAAAAATTTTGCTAAAATGATATTCCACGATTTTTGATTCGGGAACTTGAGTATGGTGGGAAATATGCAACAATTTAAATAGATTCTGTAATTGATGCGCGATTCTTTTATCTGCAATCAAAAACCGATTGATGCCATAGAATTATTCGAAAACTTCAGCAAAAATTTTAATTCTAGTTTTGATCAAATTTGCAGCTGAGTAGACGGCTTGATGATGACGTACACACACATACACCCACAAAAAAGAAATCGGAGAATTTCAATATAATTTTTTAATACGCTGCATTAGTTTCAATTTAATTTGATTACATCTGATTAAATTTGATTGAGTTAAAAGTTCAATGTGTGCGACACGATCTCAAACCGGCTTCAGTGTCGAGTTAGAATCATTGCAACGACTTCAAAACGCGGAGAGCTACGAGGTGACCAAGGTCTTCTTTTCAGGAGGCAATAAAGACGGTCATTAAGTAATTACGGAGACCTCAGGTCCCCATGACGGATCGTCGTTTGGTGACAAACGCAATACTTGGCCACTTTACTTTTTATTGATTCGACAGACAATGGTTTCCGACACACCATTTTAAAGAAAAACGAAACGATGAAGATCATTCCCACGGAAATCATATTAAACCTATTCGATGGATGGTGTTAGGTGTGATTGGAGGTATTTTTAATCGTTCTCTGTGTAAAAAAGGCAGACCAAAAGTTGAGTCAACCCAACGGCTTGCTCAACATTGAGCGTAAGCAAATTGAATTAGTTATTAGTTTTAGCAAAAATACATTTCGTCCATTTTACCAATATTTCGTTTCTTTTGTGGTTTAAAATATTTTTCAAGATTGGATGAACCATGAAAATCGTGTGCAGATTTTTTTCAGGGTTGCCTCCATCTCAAACTGAATCTCCTCGCATTTTTCATGGTTGTGTCTAACATTGGAAAATATTGTGAACCTAGTAGACTCAAAATCGGCAGGAGACAAAAGTCGTTTTGGCACAAGCCGATTCAATTAGCGTCTCTATTTTTGTCTTGATGTAATGAGCAATTCTGAGATTTCCGGATTCATCCGTGTTCACGTCGACGAATGAGGAAAAAAACCCTAATCTCGTAATGAAACTAAGGATCGTCCCAACGAAACAAGTAGCAACGCCAGATTTGGTAAACGGCACATCACGCATGGGTAGATTCGCTGCGAGATGAAATGTGTGCGGCTAATTAAAACTTGGAACCCAGCTTTGACACTAAAAATTCATCCTGCATTGCGAGAAGGTATCAAGACCGCCCTGCCCGGGCGACTTTACTCGATCTTGAGTCAAATCTGACGTTGCTTCGCGCAAAAAACCCCGGGACATCGAACGGCCAGCGGTAATTTATGCGAATTTATTATGAGTGAATCGAAATAAATAGTCGCGGGATTTTAGAGCACGACCTTGACGCTTGATAATCAATTAACGATCTGCACCGGTTCCCTCTAATCTCGGTTCTGGTGCCCGCCAAACTTCAACAGAACAATGGGTCCGAGTATCGATTCATCGATGTATCGAATCAGTTAGAGTCCAGCCAAAAAAAAAAAAAACATACTCGTACCAAATCAATGCCACTCACAATCAGTCGAATGTCTAAAACTATGTATGCACTTGGATTAATCGCTATCTTTTATAAATCATTTTGTAATTGGTCCAGACGCAGCTTAAAATACTTAAATTGAAGCATTCTTTGGTCCAAAATGAGAAAATGAATCGTGCAGAAAGAAAGATTCCGAACATCGATTGATCGAGTATTAAGTCGATTCAGGTCCGACGTAACAGATTAAATCTGTATCATTTCAATGTCTCTCAGTCGAAGGCCCGAAACTACGTATGCACTTGGTCAACCGCTGGCTTTTCTGAATCATTTCGTAATTGGTCCGACAGCAGCGCAGTACACGCAAATAAAAGCGTTACCTCGTTCAAATTTAGAAAATTAATTGATTGTGGTGGCCTTGCACACTTGACGAATGATAATGTAAAATATAGTTGGTGAGTAGAATGCAAATAATGAAAATGAGCGATGATGATGAAGGACCTTTTCGGTCTAGCTTTCCTTGCGCTAAGAAGAAAAGGGGGCTCACCGCAAGCAGGGAGTTAAAGTTGTGGATGTCAAGTAATATTACTCAGAGAGCATTGGCGGAAATCTGGCATTTAGATTTGCGAAGTGGGTCGCCAACCGTAAATAGTTTGCTAGGTTTCAAGTGCTAAAAACATGCGTTTAATTAAAATAATTTCTCTGGAGTCTGCGTAGTTGATTATCTAATC